ATTATATATTATATATGTTATATGTAACATACTATACATATGTAATATATTATATATAAAAACAACCTAGATGCCATCAACAGACAGAGAAACACAACATGGCCCATGCATAAAGTGTCAAAGGCACAGAAATTTAAAAAGCTAGAACCAGAGGTGGGCAGTTGATGCCTGGGAAGCTGCACGGTAGGGAGGGCCAGCCTTTGGGCCGGCCCCTAGCCAAGCAGGCGCCCAGGAGGCGGGCAGTCGGTGCCCGGGAAGCCACGTGGTGGTGCGCACTGCTGATCATCAGGCCAACCAATGCCGCGCAGTTGAGAACTACCATGGCACAGAGAAGCAATGACACAATTGGCCCGCCACATGCCAGCTGCAGAGGCCTGCCCGGGGATATGCGTGAATCATCCCGACATGGAGAAATATCTGGGAATACATGCCACACAACAGTTTGCTCTTGCCCCTGCCATTGAGAACCAGAAAGGTCCAGAGTCAGCGGAGGAGCAGCTGCTGAACAAGGACTCGGAGCACACTAGAATATAGGCTACACCCAAAGACTCAGAGGTCTAGTTGACCAGGGTCATGAGAGCCGTTTGGAAGCTGCAAACCAGGAGGACCTTGCACAATACCTGGGGAGACCCCCTGGAAGCCATTCTTCCCCTGACAGTACAGGTTGTGGGGGAGGAGCACATGGAGCTCCAGAGAGGTCTGCACTGAGATTCCTGCTGCCTGTGCTGACAGTTGGGGAGAGGACACTAACTGGTTGCGGGGTCCCAATGCTCCAGGAAGCTGGACAGAAAAAGCTACAAAAAATGGCTTTCGCCCCAGGCAGCTCACTTGAGATGTTAGCAAGAATTGCCTCCTCAGTAGTCTATAGCCGTAACGAGGAGGAGGCCAAGGAGAGAAAACAAAGAGACCGAGAAAAAGCAGCCTTTTGCTGTAGCACTAAGAGAAACAGACCCTAAGTCTGATTCTTGGGGCCCCAAGAAGAACTCAACAACTGCATTCATCTGCTACCACTGTTAAAAGCCAGGCCACCTCAAGAGGAACTGACCTAAGAGGACCCCTGGGCCATGCCCTGAATGCAAAGGTGACCACTGGAGATCGGTCTGCCCTCTGAAGCA